ATTCTACTATACCTTGCTGGCTTTCATTCCTTATATAACTGGTTATTAGTATTGTTTGGTTTTGTAGACTTGACCCTACTCGGAGCCCCTGCCTTCCTTCTTGTACAGAAATCTCCAAGAGAATTCCTAGCATTTGATTATTTGGGGGAGGAAAGGGAAAACCTGGAATTTTCACAATCCAACAAGAAGATCCAAACTTGCATAGAACCTTCCTGTGCCGTTGATGGAAAAATGTCAAAGGCAATCCCTTTCTCTAACCCTTCAATTCTCTTTTCAGCTTTGAGGTTCTTTTCTATCACACAATGAGTTGGACACTTGGGGGTTTCACTAGAAAGCTCCCTCCTTTGTGACATCACTAGGAAGAGAGGTAGCTAAGGGAACTGATGATTGAGCCTCTCTGGGAACAACAGTCAAGATCAGCAGCTCTTAAAACTGAGAGTAAAGATTCACGTGCAGTAAGACCCCTAATCCGGAGAGTGAAACATGGGCTCTACCCAGAAAGGCTCCATGTCTCAGACAGCCAAGATGACTAAACCCTCGATTAAAGTTTCTGCTCCTGGGCAGCGAGGGCCTGAGGTCAACCATAGTATGAGTCCCCATCGAGGTCCTTCTGCCAGTCACAGAGGTGCAGATTTGTCCCGGAGTGTTTCCCCCCAACACGGAATGGAAAGCCGTCAAACCTCCCAAAGAGGGGCAGATGCTTCTCGATCTGCTTCCCCCCAGTATGGGCTTGATTTCTCCCGAATTTCCTCTCCCCAAGGGAATGAATCTGGTTCTCACAGCCAAGGCCATCTAAAGGCTGAAGCAACCCGTCATGGCTCACCTCAGTACAAACATGAACACAGCTCAGTTTCCCATGGGAACTTGCTTGCCCCGCCAGGGAGAGCACAGATGAAATATGATGGTACTTCTCATGGTGGCACACACAGGACCCAAAGTCCACCAACACAGGATCAAACACATAAAAATGTGGCTGCCCCAGGGCAAGAGAGCCATTGGAACATACTTCCCTCAGATGCCAAAATCACTTCCCGGGCACCGTACTCAAATCAGAAGGAATCGACAACTGTCCCGAGCTCTCAATGGGATGTGGAACCACCGCCCTCCAAGGTTACAAACCCCCAAGGGGTCCGAAGCCCTCGAAGGCGTTTAATTAACCCAAAGGATGAATCCACCCAGACTGATTTCAAAAAGAATTTGGTCTATTCTGAGGGCAAATCTGTCTTGAGGAAACCACCCTCCTCAGATCCAACCCATACTTCGCTAGAGACCAAACCAACCCAAAGAACCATGTCTGCGCAAGAATCTCAGGCAGGTTCCCGGAGCACAGTCCATGCCGAAACTAAGGGATCCCACAGAAACTTGGGATCTTTAGAAGTAGAGTCAGCTGTTAAGGTTTCATTCCGTAAGGATCCTGATCACTCACAAAAAGTCGCAGGCCGATCAGAAGTTGAGGCAGTCCAAAGACAGGTTCCATCCCCTCCGAGGGTTGCACTGGCCCCGGAGGCAGAGGCAGCTATCAAGAGCTCTACTCGTCCAGGGCGTGAGTCACGCCGGGTCACCATCTTAACAGAGTCAGATGCATCTTCTACAAGTCCTTCCCAGCAACCAAGTGAACCTTCCCACAAACCTCCAATTTTAAATTCTTCCTTTAAGCCACCATCTTCTGAAGCCTCAGTGAAAGTTGCTGCTGTTACAGAGCCAGAATTGATCCCTCGTCCTTTACCACCCAGGTCCTTACCAAAATATGGTCCTGAGTCTTCATGGTGGATCTTATTCCACCCAGAACTTCCTGAACCTCCAAAGTGTGAGACAGTCTTAACACAGTCAGAACATAGGCCATCTCACTTGGATCTTTTCATGTCCCAGATAGGGGTAGCCTCAGCTTACTGTGAAGAGTTAATCATACAGAGTGAGAAGGCAACTTCTCCTGAACCACAATCTCCAAGGAGAGTGTCATCATGTGATTTGCTGAAGTCTACTTGGCAGCCCTTGGAATCATCCCAGTCCATGGAAGATGGAACCATTCAAAGGTTTAGTGCTTTCTTCCTGGGTATGTTTCGAAGAAGTATGCCTAGGTACAGTCTCAATTTAGTGAGATGGGACACTGGTGGGTGGAAATAGATGGCAGTAGATCACAGTGGGCTGCCTACTACACTTATGCCAGCATGAGCACCAGTCACTCTTGTGACCTCTTTGGTTTGGATCAGAGTTGGCTGAGAGAAAAGCCAGTTTCTTCTAAGGACACTGGCTCCACCTTCATCATGCCTCTTGTTCTCTGGACCCAGAGAAAATACCTAGTGATTTAAAATACTGGGTCTGGTCTTAGAATGTGGTTTCCAGAGTTAGAGATTGGGGAATGAGCTAGGGTGGGCTGAGGGTATTACAGAGAATCAGGTCTTCCAAGTGGATGTTCTTGAAGATAAGATGGAAAAGGCAAGGAGCTTGATGTATTAAATAGAAGTATATGGATGAGCCCTCTCAAATGTAGTTACCTTCCTTTGTATATCTTTGCTGGATAAAGGTAACACTTGGGCAGAATCCAGTGTGCCAACTGAAAGGGACTGGAATGGTTGTGGGGATTACCATCTGGTGCTGGAAGAAAAGCAATGATTTTTTTCTGTTGCTTTCAGATGTTACTGATGAGATGCTTAATCGGGTCATCTGGTGGTTGAAAGGTTTGTGTTTTTGCCCCATTTATGTCATTTGGAAGCGGGGGTAGTGATGGGTGTAGGAGGAGTGATTGGTTTACCAGTTTCCACTGGGACGTTCCATATTTGCTGGATGTGACTTATTTTTTCACTGAACCATTTAAAGTATAACAAGGTGGCTCCTATGTGTTGAGATATGAAGGTCCCTACCTGCCTGCCATCGTGAGCCAAATTTGATCCAAGGCTTTTTATCCTCAAGGGTCCTCTATTAAAATGAAGCAAATTTTGGGAGGGAAAAAGTACTGGATTTGGAGTCAGAGAGCCTGGGCTGGAATCCCAATTCTGCTATTTCTCATATGTGTGGCCTTGGACAAGTCATTTCTCTTCTCTGGGTTTCGGGTTCATCATTTGTAAAATGGGAAGGGGGGATGGGATTAGACAAGGTATTCTAATATTTCCTTCAACCTTCGACCTATTTAGTTAATACATTTGAAGAAGTTATTAGTTGGCCTCAAGTTAAGGGGAGGAAATAATTTGGTTGTGAAGCATATAGAGGACTAGCCTCAGTCTCTTTCCCTCTCCTTCCAGATATGTGGCTATTGAGAGCCATATAAGGAGAGACATAATAGTTGCATTACCCGTAAGACACTTAGCATGAGCCATACTCTCCACCCCACTTTGTGGCCATCCAGAGAATATTTATTCCTTCTGTTTGTACCCTGCCTCTCTCAGGCTCTGCCTGCTCTCATTGGACCACAGATGTAGATGGAGCTGCACAGGACCTCACAGATTATCTGGTCTAACTCACCATTGCTTTCCAGAACGAGAAACTTGAGGTCCAATGAGGCTAAGGGGCTTGCTTAAGGTCACACAGGCAAAAATGGCAGAATCTATATTTGAACCTGGATCCTCTGTCTGCGTATCCTACATTTTTGCCACTGCACCATGCTGTCTCTAGTTTGGACTTAAGTTGTAAATTCAGGTGGCCTGAGTTGTTGCTAATATAATCTTCTCAACTTTCTGTGGCCTGGAACACAGGTACTTGCCCCAAAAATAGAATGATGACTAAAAGTTCTGTTATTAGAGAGCCTTGAATGAGAAGGAATCTTGAAAATGTCACCTTTAACCTTGTACTACCTCCCCACAATAAATTCAAAGGGATGGGAAAGAAAGAGACCAGGCTCTCTTGGAGGATGTATTTAAATACCACTAAAGAGCATCTTTCCCTCCAGCAGGAGAAAAGTTCCTTTGGGGTCACTTAAATTAGGAGAAGAATTGGGCCTGGGCTCTATTGCTAGATATTGAAGGTTTATAAGATAAAGTAAATTACAATTATAAGTAAAATTCTGTCTCCCCCCCCCCACCTTTTTTTTTGTCCACTGACTGTTTGAATTCCCTTTGTGGTCCTTGGGAACTGCTCATCTTCCAAACTCTCCATTTTGACAGATGATGAGGTAAGAGATCACCTGGAATGCTACAACTCTTGGCCTTCTTTCTGTCACATCCTCTACCCCTTCCCTTCCTCCCTTGTTCCTTCCTTTGGTTTCTCAATTGGTGGAGAACTGGGTGTATGAGAGGTCTCCCCAATTCTCCTAGGGTGAAAAAATAGTCACCCCAGATATAAGGAGTAGTGTCTCACTTGATAGAGAAATGGATTGACGGGTAGATCGACAGATAAAAGCATTTACTAAGTATGTGCCAGGCACTCTGCTAAGTGTTGGAGAGGTTAAAAAAAAAAGCAAACAAGACAATCCTCGCCTCTCAAAGAGCTTACATTCTAATGGGGGAAGACTATCTATAAAGGGGAACTGGAAATCAAGGAAAGAGGGCACAAAGTGGGGGAAAGCTTCTGGGAAACGGAGAAGTCAGGAGAGGGAATGGAGTTGGCAGTGAAGTGAATATGACTGGGACCACACATAAAATGGTGGTCTGAGATAGAGACTCAGCCATCAGGAGATCAGGGCCTCTGGGTGGAAGCATCTCCAGGATGGGAAGGTTGCTGGAGAGGAGGTAGAGAGGTAGAGTAAAGTAAGTGTGGACTATGTGAGGGGTGTCCCCCATTCTCCTAAGGTGGAGGACCATTGCCGGAGACAAAAGAAGTGGAAAGTACCGCAAGGCTCTTGAGCAAAAGGGAAACAGGGAAAGTTGAGAATCTTTGTTGAGACCTTCAGGCTCTGCTTCAAGATCTCTTTGGAACAGTCGTGGCTTGACTCCCTCTACTCTAGCTAGTAAAACCCTACAATGAGATCTTTTCCCTGGGTTCTACCCTGGCAACCTCAGGCCACTCTCTGTAACACGTTGAATGAGGGTTGTTTCTGAGAGTTCTACAAATAAGGAGACTTATCAGTTTTACATATTTCAGTCCCTACATTTGGTGGCAAAGCCCTTTCCAAATGAAGCATTAGGTGGTAAATCAGTGTCTATACTAAGGAGAGGAAAAGGAGAAAACCCATATGTAAGCTCATATGTCCAAATGGAATTTCTCAAAGGATATTCTGTGTAACTGACTGAGGCCTCAGAGGCACTAGGGGTAGGAGGGATGCTCTGGCCTTCTAAGTCTGCATTCAGATAGGGGTGGTGATATGACCACTTCAAATATAGCTTTGTAGTTTTCCCTTTGATTTCAGTAAAAATATCATCTCTGACATGCAAGAGGTAGTCAGTCAATAAGTATTTATTAACCACTTACTAGGTATTTAGAACTGCGCTAAATGCCAGAGTTACAAAGACAGACAAAAATTATGGTCCCTGCCTTCAAAGTATTTATCTCTCTCTCTCTCTTTTTTTTTTTTTTGTGAGGCAATTGGGGTTAATTGATTTGCCCAGAGTCACACAGCTAGTGAGTGTTATGTGTCTGAGATCGGATCTGAACTCAGGTCCTCCTGACTCCAGGGCTGGTGCTCTATCAGTGTCACCTTGGTGCCCCCATATACATCTCTTAGTGGGAAAATAGGCAAATAAATATGTACATGCATGACATATACACAGTGTAAATGGAAAGTAATTTTGGAGGGAAGGTTCTATCTATTATTATTGGTTTTTAGGCAACTAGGGTTAAGTGACTTGCTCAGGGTCACATAGCTAGTAAGCGTCTGAGGCCAGATTTGAACTCAGGTCCTCCTGACTTCAGGGCTAGTGCTCTTTCCACTACACCATCTAGCTGCCCCCTAACATTATTCTTATTATTTTTGGAAGGTTCTATCTAGAAACTGAAGGGATCAGGAAAGGCCTCTTATAGAAGGTAGGATTTGATTTTAGTCTTGAAGGAGGCTAGAGGAGCCAGGAGGTAGGAGAAAGATACAGAGAAAGGAGATAGAGTATTAGAGATGCCTCCTTGCTTTTGAGGGGCTTTAGAATGGTGATTGTTGAGGAATCAATGGTTTATCTATATATCTATTCCCAGATCTATTCTTTTGAATTTTTGAGTGTCAGAATTGGGTGATGGGGAAAGGAGACAAAAAGAAAAATGTGGGGCAAGAATCTAACTCATTCCATAGATGACTTTGGGTATGTTCTCATAGAGATAGGATCATGGCCTTAGCTACATTTTTTTTTTTTGTGTGTGTGTGTGTTTTGTTTTTTGGTTAGGCAATGGGGTTAAGTGACTTGCCCAGGGTCACACAACTAATAAGTGTTATGTGTCTGAGGCCAGATTTGAACTCAGGTCCTCCTGAATCCAGCGCTGGTACTCTATCCACTGTGCCACCTAGCTGCCCCCCTTAGCTACATTTCTGAGAAACTCTCCCCTACAGAGGTGGTTATGAGCTCATCCCAGAACAAAGGTGCCAAAGCATGTTGATGGTCTGAATTTCTGATTTAACTCTTAACATTCTTGTTGTTTGTTATTGTTCACTCATTTCAGTCGTGTCCAACTCCTAAATGGTGACCCCATTTAGGGTTTTCTTGGCAAAGATACTGGAGTGGCTTGTCATTTCCTTCTCCAACCCATTTGACAGATGAGGAAACTGAGGCCAACAGTGTTAAGTAACCTGCCCAGGGTCACACAGCTACTAAGTGTCTGAGGTCACATTTGAACTCATGAAGGTGAATCTTCCTGACTCCAAGCCCAGTGCTCTATGAACTATGCCTCCATCTAGTGTCTAAAAAGGAACTTTACAGGCTATCTAGCTATCTAGTTTAATTTCCTCATTTTAACAGGAGAATCAGAGAAATTAAGCAAGCTGTCGTAAAGGGCTGGACTTGAAACCAGGGCTTTGCCTCCAAATCCAGCATCTTTTCCATTGAATCACACTGATTCTTACAGAGAGAGGGGGGATACTGTGGGGACAGGGTGGTGAGTTAGGAAACTATTTCAATAATCTAGAATGAGAGGTAATGAGACCCTGAACTAGGCTAGTGGCTGGGGAAATGAAAAGAAGATGACCCGCCAAAGATCAGTTAGAGAAATAGAATGGTTAGGACTTCACATCTGATTGGATGGTGGGGATGGAGAAGTTAGGAAGGAAAGGGGAATAGACATATCATACTTTTGTGATACCTGAAGGTTTACAAGGCACTTCATTTCTTCACAATAACCACCATTTTGTGCAGATAGAACAAATATCATTATCCCTATTTTATAGAAGAGAAAACTGAGTTTCTCAGAGGGTAAATGATTCAGCAGAGTTTACATTACTATCAAGTGTTATGGAGGGAGCTTTTTCTTGATTAATTTTGTCTGGCATGATAGTCACTATGCCCCAGATTTCTAAAATGCATGGTACTACAGAGGTAGGGAAAACAGTTTTTTTTTAAAAGAAAAATAAAAAACTCAATTGGGACATGTGGTCTTTGAGGGGCAAGGAGACTTGTCCTTGAGTTTATAGCTCATTAGAGAGATAGCAGCACATGAAACATTTAAATAATACTAAGATACAATCTATAGTCAAGTACCTATGTGAAAGGGCGATATGGTAAGTGATTGGGAGTACTTTCCTCCCCCAGAGGTATAAGAGTTTTTCAGTCAAGGGAGTACCATCAGTGACCCTTTGATGTAGGTCAGCATTTGCTGATGGAAGTAGAGGAAAGGGTTAGTTCATTTCTGCATTCTCTATACAGGGTGTCCCAAAAG